CCTTTGTCCTTGAGTGGGCCAACCCTTTCTCTAGTTACCCTCTTACTCCTTATGTACGAATAAAAGGCTTTGGGATTTTCCTTAACCCTGTTTGCTAAAGATATTTCATGACCCCATTTCGCCCTCTTAATTCCTCGTTTCAGATTGGCCCTACCTTCCCGATTTTCTTCCAAAGCTTCATCTGTTTTCAGTCGCCTGGACCTTATGTATGCTTCCTTTTTCCTCTTTGCTAGTCCCACAATTGCACCTGTCATCCATGGTTACCTAATCTTGCCCTTTCTATCCCTTATTTTCACAGGGACATGTCTGTCCTGCACTCTCATCAACTCTCTCTTCAAAAGCCTCCCACGTATCAAATGTGGATTTACCCTCAGACAGCTGCTCCCAATCCACGTTCCCCAGCTCCTGCCGAATTTTGCCATCGTTGGCCTTCCCCCAGTTCAGCACTCTTCCTTTAGGACCACTCTCGTCTTTGTCCATGACTATTCCAAAACTTACGGAATTGTGATCGCTATTCCCAAAGTAATCCCCTACTGAAACTTCGACCCCCTGGCCGGGCTCATTCCCCAACACCAGGTCCAGTATGGCCCCTTCCCGAGTTGGACTATGTACACACTGCTCTAGAAAACCCTCCTGGATGCTCCTTACAAATTCCGCTCCGTCTAAACCCCTAACCCTGAGCGAATCCCAGCCAACGTTGGGAAAATTAAAATCTCCCGCCACCACTGCCCTGTTGCTCCTACACCTTTCCGTAATCCGTCCACATCTTTGTGCCTCTATCTCACGCTCGCCGTTGGGAGGCCTGCAGGACAGCCCCAACACTGTTCCCGCACCCTTCCTATTTCTGAGCTCTGCCCATATTGCCTCACTCCTCGAGTCCTCCACGGTGCCCTCCTTCAGCGCGGCTGTGATATCCTCTTTGACCAGCAACGCAACCCCTCCACCCCTTTTACCTCCCTCTCTATCCCGCCTGAAGCATCTATATCCTGGGATCATAGAGTTGCCAACCTTGCCCTTCCCTCAACCAAGTCTCAGTGATAGTTCATCGTGTTAAATATTCTAAGGGCTCGCCGACTCTGAATCCGATCCATGGAAAAGAAACCATCTGCTATTTACCTTATCCGTGCCCCTCGTGGTCTTTGTAAATCTCTATAACGCACACCCCACCCCCCAATCCTCCCTCCCTCAGCCTCCCGCGAGCCTCTCCTGCCGAGTGAAACCCTCCATAGCTGGCAACATGCTGGTAAATTTCTTCTGGAAAACCTCTCTGGTGGAATAATCACAGGCCTCAAGGTGACTTTCCCCCCAACTCCCTCAACTCCCTGCACCCAAAGGGTCTGAGCCCCCTCATAACCCTCAACGCCCACGCCAGCTCAGTGCCCACCGTGGGGGAACCTCACCTCGGAGGCTGGCGTTCTCGGCCTGGAGATCGCGGTTGAGCTGCAGGAGGGCGCCCAGGCTGTTGTAATCGCTCCTGGCCTGGAACGGGCCCCGTTGACGTGCCGCCTCCTCCCCCATCGTCTCCGGCTCGCTCCCCAGGCTAGCACCAGGCTGCACCATCTCTGCCAACACGCTGCCCTGGCCGCGAGACATGTGGGAGGG